TTTTGCACCCTTCTCACCATTTTTTCCATCCATTTTTCACCCTTTTCCACTCTTTTCCACCCTTTTGCCATCCTTTTTCATCTTTTGCCCGCCTTTTCCCCAGTCTTTTTCTGCAGTTTGCCACTATTTTCCCACTTTTTTTTCACCTTTTCCTACCCTTTTCCATCCCTTTTCCCTACTGTTTCTCATCCTTTTCCACCGTTTTCCCATATTTTTTTTTCCAGTATTTCCATCGTTTTCCAGCCTTCCCCCCACCCTTACTCCATCATTTTTCCTCCCTTTTCCCCTTTTTTCCACCCTCTTCCCACCTTTTTCCACCTGAGAGCCCCAAACAGGTAAAAACAGGTTAAAAAAAGGCAAAAAACAGGGAGTTTTATTCAACTCCCCTTTTTGGGGGGTCCCCAGGTATTCCCAGCTCATTTCCAGGTGCTTCCATCCCATTCCCAAGTGTTCCCATCCCATTTCCAGGCATTTCTATCCCACTTCCAGGAGTTCCATCCCATTCCCAGGTATTTCCAACCCATTCCCAAGTGTTTCATTCCCACTTCCAGATGCTTTTATCCCATTTCCAGGTGTTTCCAGCCCATTCCAGGTCTTTCCAGCCCATGTTCGGGTATTTCTGTACCATTCCCAGGTGTGTCCAATTCACTCCCAGGTTCTTCCAACCCACTTCCAGGTGTTCCAGACCCATTTCCAGATGTTTCTGACCCATATCCAGGTGTGTCTGACCCACCTCCAGGTGTTTCTATCCCATCCCCAGGTGCTTCCAGTTCATTCCCAGGTGAGTCAGACCCATCTCCAGATGTTCCAGACCCATATCCAGGTACGTCCAACTCATTCTCAGGTGTTTCAGTCCCATCCTCAGCTGTGTCTATCCCATTTCCAGGTGTGTCTGACCCATATCCAGGTGTGTCTGACCCATATCCAGGTGTGTCTGATCCATCCTCAGGTATGTCTGACCCATATCCAGGTGTGTCTATCCCATCCCCAGCTGTCTCTGACCCACTCCCAGGTACTTCTAACTCATCCCCAGGTGTGTCCAACCCATCTCCAGGTGTTTCTCTCCCACATGCAGGTGTGTCCGACCCATCCCCAGGTGAGTTGAATCCATCCTCAGGTGTGTCTGACCCATCCCCAGATGTGCCTGCCCCGCTCCCACCCCCCTCAGGCCTCCCTGCCTGCCCTCCCCAGCACCTGTCCAGGTACCTGTTCACCTCCCCGGCGTGGCTCCGCCTGTCGGGCTCCAGCCGGAGGAGCCTCGGGAGCATCTCCAGCGCCGCCTCCCCCAACCCCTGCCAGGTGCGCGGCACCTCCCCCCTGCCGGTGAGCCCACCTGGCTGCCAGGTGCGGCCCTGCCACACCTGGAACTCCCCGAACTGGGGATCCGGGGGCGCAGCCACCCCCCAGGGGAAGGTGCCCGTGAGGAGGGCGAAGAGGAGGACGCCGAAGGCCCAGGCGTCCAGGCTGGGCTCCAGGCGCAGCGTCTCCGCCTCGCGCAGGTGGCACAGCTCAGGTGCGGCGTAGGGGGCGTGGCCCGAGCCGCAGGTGGGCCCCACCTGCCAGCCCATGACGCGGGTGAGGCCGAAGTC